CTACTTTCTTCTCGCGAGTGAGACCCTCTTCACGGATCCGGAGACGAACAAGCAACTGTTCTAAAGTCATTTCTTTCCGTTTGAGCTTGAGATAGCTTCGGAACTCATCCCAAGCTGGCGGGAGCACATGAATAATCGCCGCCACTTGGAATGCCTCACTGACTCCCATTCCCTCGTCAGTGCACTCATTAAAAATGAGAATCAATTCTTCAGCTTGACTGACCACGGGTTTGGAATCCACCATCTTAAAATCCAAGACCTTACCGACAACGAATTTCTTCGCACCGGCGTCCTCGGCCTGGTATTTGTTGGACAGTGTAGTCCATAACTCCTTTGCGGATGCAGCCCTGCTATAAACAGCATATAAGGCATCGCTCAAGCAATTCAGGATAAGATTAAGGCACGTATAGTTATTCGCTATCCATGCCTCTTTAGCCTGAACTGTTGGCTCGTCCGCGTTCTCCCCCACAATAGGGGGATCCTCCCTCAAGTACCTCGCAAGGTTGAGGGTGGTCAGCCAAAATAACATCCTTTGCTACCATATTTTAAAGCCAACACCTGTGAACTTTGCCGGTTCTTTGACAGAGTTTGCAGGCAGCATGACAGTAGGATGTCCGACCGGTGCAGATGTGAAGACACCCGTGTTCGGTCCAAGTGAGGGAATGATCGGTATGGTCGAAGCCATGTTCGGTCCGAGTGGGGTGACCATTGCGGCCGTAGCCGCGGTTGGTCCAATAACCGAGGTAACCGGAGCGGACCCCATAGTCGCGCTCGATCCAACGAAGGTGGTGATCGGAGTGGACCCCATGGCCGCACTTGATCCGAAAGGAATGTTGATCGGAGTGGTCTGCCCAACAGAGCCACCCAATCCAGCCGAAACGTTCACAACCGGAGTCTCGGAACTACTCCCGTTTCCGGTGTGAGCGTCAAAACCGAATCCGTCCATACCCGCCATTGCGCACGGATATCACTACTACCTTAAGATTGTTACAATTCTCGTACGGATTACAACGGACGGGGAAGATGAACGGCCCCGAAAAATAAAAATAAATAAAATTCTGAATTTATAATTTATTCAGAATATTACAAAATAAACAAAGCTGAAAATAAATTGCTATATCTTCAAACAGCCTTGCTGTACGAGGGCATTAAGGACTGGACAGCGAGGACGTTAAGCACTGGACAGTGAGGTCTTTAAACACTGGACAGCGATTCAAGGACGTTATGCACA